GGCCCCCACCCCTGAGCGGCGGGTGGGGGCCCTAAATACTAAAAAGGGGGGGACCTAATGTCCTCCCCTCTCCTCCCCCCCAGCCCCCACCCCTGAGCGGTGGGTGGGGGCAAATAAATCACAATGGGGGGGACCTAAGGTCCTCCCCCCTTGCCCCCACCCCTGAGCGGCGGGTGGGGGCCCTAAATACTAAAAAGGGGGGGGACCTAATGTCCTCCCCCCTGGCCCCCACCCCTGAGCGGCAGGTGGGGGCCCTAAATACTAAAAAGGGGGGGGGACCTAATGTCCTCCGCCCCGGCCCCCACCCCTGAGCGGCGGGTGGGGGCCCTAAAAAAAATGTCCCCCCCAGGTGACTAGGGGTCCCCAAATCCCTAGTCACCCCCTCCCCCCCCCAAAAAAAAATGAACGCCCTATCTACCCCCCTCACCCTAAAAATAATGAGGGGGGGGACCTTTAACTATGTACCTGTAAAAAAACAATAGAACTTACCATTCAATGTTTTCTTTCTTCTAAATCTTATTTTTTCAGCCCCAAAAAAGGCCAAATAAAAAACCATAATAACCGACGCAATTAAAAACAAAAAGCAAAAAAAAAAACAGAGCGCAAAAAAAATAATCCAGAGATGACAGGTAAGTCTCTACATTTACCTGTCACAGCACTCTGATTGGTTGGTTTGAAATTCACCAATCAGAGTGCTCTGTGTCATTTTACACAGCGTGGGAAAGTTCTTTGGAATTTTCCCATGCTGTGTAATTTGACTCATAACTCTCTGACATTACGCTGTGTAATTTGACTCATAACTCTCTGATTGGTGGATTAATCCACCAATCAGAGATTTATGAGTCAAATTACACAGCGTGGAAATTCCAAATAACTTTCCCACGCTGTGTAAAATGACACAGAGCACTCTGATTGGTGGATTTCAAACCAACCAATCAGAGTGCTGTGACAGGTAAATGTAGAGAGTTACCTGTCAGTCTCTTCATTTACCTGTCAGAGCACTCTGATTGGATGGCTTAAACCCACCAATCAGAGTGCTCTGAGCCTAATTGCAGGGCGGGGCAAGGCTTTATAAGCCTTGCCCCGCCCTGCAGAGCTCAGTCTGCGCGGAGCCATTTTTTTTTTTGCGCTCGTTTTTTTTTTTTTTTAATTGAGTCGGTTATTATGGTTTTTTATTTGGCCTTTTTTGGGGCTGAAAAAAGAAGATTTAGAAGAAAGAAAACATCGAATGGTAAGTTTTTTTTTTTTTTTTTACAGGTACTTAGTTAAAGGTTAATTTTTAGGGGGTTAATTTTTTTTGGGGAGGGAGGGGGTGACTAGGGGTTTGGGTACCCCTAGTCACCTGGGGGGGACTTTTTTTAGGGCCCCCACCCGCCGCTCAGGGGTGGGGGCTGGGGGGAGGACATTAGGTCCCCCCCTCATTATCTTTATGGCCCCCACCCACCGTGCAGGGGTGGGGGCGGGGGGGGAGGACAGTAGGTCCCCCCCCTCATTATCTTTATGGCCCCCACCCGCCGCCCAGGGGTGGGGGCCGGGGGGAGGACAGTACGTCCCCTCATTATCTTTATGGCCCCCACCCGCCGCCCAGGGGTGGGGGCAATAGGTTTTTTTTGTTTGTTTTTTTTTACAGGGACATTACACTGCTTACTAGACATGCCCCTACTCGCTGCATAGCGAGTAGGGGCAGAATTTACTAATTCTAATCTTTACTTATTATTAGTAAATGTGGCTGAAAGACCAATTTAGGTCTTTCAGCCTTTTAGTAGATAACTCCCTAATACCGTGGGAATTAGGGAGTTATCTACTAAGCGGCTGCAAGATGCAGCCGCGGATCGGAGTTTGCATGCCACAGTCCAGGTGTTAGTCCCCTTGAAACAACTTGTGGGTTTTAAAATTCGCCTGCCTATTGAAGTCTATGGCGGTTCGCCCGGTTCACGGGTTCGCGAACATTTGCCGAAATTCGCGTTCGCCGTTCGCGAACTGAAAATTTCATGTTCGCGACATCACTAATTAACATATATATTATTATTTGTGTACGGCAAATTAGAGGACGTATGAAATAATAAGAAAGAAGCAAAATGTAGTAAGAGCAAAGTCAGTTGAGGTGTGCCGAAACTAACGTGAGTTTAGACCTGTAAAAAAATGGCCCACCTAAGTGAAGTGAGAATAAATAGAGGGTGCTGTTGGAGGGGCACTTCCGAGAACGTAGCCGACAGGTAAGCAGGGGCTTACTGGGTTTAAATAGGGTTCACAGTGGCCAAGCCTTCTATTTGTGTGCGGCAAATTAAAGGACGTATGAAATTATAAGAAAGAAGCAAAATGTAGTAAGAGCAAAGTCAGTTGAGGTGTGTTGAAACTGACGTGAGATTAGACCTGTAAAAGAGGGCAAAAATCTAAGAAGCGATTCTTTAAGTCAGATACATTTATTTAAGCATTACATTACTTAGACATATTACAGAAAGCCAATCTTATTTTTTTCTCAGGATTGTGGATGTATCTATTGTATGCGGATGATTTCCAGCGACCCATATTTTTAATGATATGTGTTGGTACGTGATTTCCAGAGGCAGATGTGGCTGCTCCAATATGGAATGAATGGCCCGAGAATGAATGTGGGTTATATCCTAGCCGGAGTAATAATGTATGAATGTAAAGTATGAATTGTTTGGTGGTTAGGGGTTTTCCTTGAATGGCCAATAGTGGGGAATGAGGGTTGGAAGTGAGTTGGGATTCCACCTGTTTTTTAATGAGGTGTTTTTGTTGAAGGCATGACTTAAAGTCGGACGCCTTTTCTACAGAGAATTCTTTAGGTCTTAAGAAACCATAGAAGGCTATGCAAGCCGCGGACTTGATAATTAGGTTCGTGGTTTGTTCAAAAAGCGACTTGTCTAGTACATCAGAGATACTCCTAAACAGTGTACTGTCTATGGGAAGTCTCTTAACCCCTTAAAGACACATGACGGAAATATTCTGTCATGATTACCTTTTATTTCTGAAGTTGTGCCCTTAAGGGGTTAATGGGATTATGCACTGTTAGTCTCTGAACACCTTTAACCCCTTAAGGACACATGACATGTGTGACATGTCATGATTCCCTTTTATTCCAGAAGTTTGGTCCTTAAGGGGTTAAGGACACTTTTAAATGGGTAGGATGCTAGAAGTGGAGTTTTGTTGGGATAACTGGTTAACATGTAGTGTTGAATGCCCCTTAAGTAAAGTTTGATTCTATTGTAAGCTAATTTGAGAGAAATGTGGCAAAAAGTTGTAAATGCGACCATGGTTTCTACGGAAAAAACATTTACTACACAATAATCACTAACAAACCTTTTAAACAAATCATATGCTCTTGAATATGCTTTTTTGTATTAAGAGATAAACCAGCCTGTGCGAATGACCTACTGTGACGAGAGCAATCTCGCCACATTGCATTGGAGAAGCCTGGTTGCTCACCTGCTGCCTTTGGATTATGGCCCCATGTTAAAAGACTTTGTTTCCCCTGCAGAAAAGACTTATTCGTGCTTTTCTGCCCGGTGTTCAGTAGATTCAATCTACCGAACAACCGCACGAATGACTAGACCACCTGGGAGCTGGAGTGTGCCGGCAATTAGCCTCCCAGAAGCTGCGGTTAACCGCAGCTTAATTGACGAATACTGGGTGGCCGCCATTCGTATAATGAACACGAGGTCGTGGCCATTTTAAACACGCGAACGCACAGCGGTGTTCGGCGCTTAACTCATGGAACTAAAAACGGACACAGTTTGGCGCGACCACCGCTGAAGCCGCCGACCTCCCTTCTTGTTCGGCGGGAGTACACGAACGGCCCGGTGTTCGGTAGTTTTACCTGACTGTATTATACCCCAGATAGGAATCCCATGGAGCTCATTCGTATGAGAACTAACTTTGTAAAGACTTTGGCTCCATGGCGATTGAACTGTATTCGTGTGGTCTGAGCGCCATTCTTAATAATGTGCGCTGAGACCTGAGCTATCTGGGGATATGTTATTGTAATGAGTGTCACATAGTGTATTTTAATAGTAATTCTTATTTTAGTATCCCCACGTGCATAATGGCGATTTGCCTTTGTCCTGGGAGATAATTGAATTACTTCTCAATTATCTCCAGGGCAGAGGGGAGGAAGCCAGGATGCATTGTGGGAATACAATGTGACTGTGTGTCCTATTTGGCTACTTGTCTGTCCCTTGTCACAGTCTCCCATTTGGTCCCCTAGGGGAGTGTCCACCAGATGGGAGACCTGCATAAATACGTCTTTGGGGGGATTTACTGAACGCTGATAGAGACTGATTGCTAGGAGTGTAAGCCGCTTGGGTGCTTTTCCTATTCGTCTGCTAGCAGCGATTCGTATGGTTCCAGTTCGTGTGTTTGGAGTGCTATATTGTATGCCGTTCGGGAGTTTGGAGCATTCCCTTATTGGCGGTTCATGAGTTTGGTGTTCTACAGTAGCTGTGCATGCATCTCTGAAAGGGGACGATTGCCTAAACGGTTTTTACCCCTTGTGTGCAAAACAGTCCGTTACACCTACTATGGAGTAACAGGGTATTTAAAGCATGATTAGGTCTGTGAAACTCGGAGGTTGTCTGGGTTGTGCGTTTGCCGATAGATGGATTCTGGAAAACTCCTGTAAATTAGTCAGTTGCATTGTTCTGAACACCAGGCACGTGAATGCAATAGATACAATGCAATAGGTTTGCTGCTTGCCAGGTAAGTCTCCTAACCATTTTCATAATGATAAGGGACTGAGAGCGGCCTTTGTTAATAATATCACATGCCGCCACGTTATCTGAGAAGCGCCTGACAGACGGTCCACTCCATTCCTTACCCCATATGTGTGCAGCAGCTACGATTGGGAATACTTTGAATAGTGCTGAGGTGGTATTGAAGTTCACTAGTGTTATAGTCTCTAGTGGCCAAGAGTCGTACACCCATTCATTACCAAAAATAGCTGCGCAGCCTATGGCACCTGATGAGTCAGTCCAAACTACCGGGGAGTCGTCAGAAATAGGGGGGACGAATAGCGACCTGCAATTCCAAGATGACAGAAATAGATGCCACATTTTAAGATCTGCTCTAGCTGGTTCGTCTAAGAGGGTTGTGGAGTCGTCATCAGGGAGCCCATGAAGGAGAGAGAGAATTCTGGAAATGAAAGATCTCCTCTGTGGTATTATTCTCATCGCAAAATTAAGTGACCCGAGTAGTGACTGTAGCTGTTTTCTGGTGCAAGAGCCATGTGAGGGGCAGATGTTGATAAAAGAGAGAATTCTACTGTCTACGTTCTCTTGGGGGAGGCTGGCTTGCATAGACACGGAATTAAGTGTAATACCCAGGAAAATAATCTTTGTTTTGGGACCTTCTGTTTTGTCTGGGGCAACTAGATCTTTGAAAAGAGAGAGCATGTGATGTAGGCTGCTTGGTATGGATGACTACTGGACAACTGCACTTGTTGAGTAGGAGCCAGGTTAAAGTCTCTGCGAAGATTTCAAATATCTTGGGGCTACTCTTGGAGCCGAAAGTTAGCCTGTTCGCGAAATAATACCTGTTTTCCCACTTGCTCTTAAAAGAGCAATTGTTGTAAACCAAGGGAGTATAGTGATTATAGCAATCCTCAGAGTATGACTATAGCTCTCCAATCCCCCAAACGTGAGCCTAGACTTCATGAAGAGTAAAACGAATCTCAGTTTAATGGTAGCCACAACAGCCTTTTATGCAAGTCCCCATGCAAGGGGCACACCCACATTGACCTTGTGGGGGACTACAATACAAAGTCACAGACCAATGACAATAGAGTTTAAATGAACCACTCTCCCTTATACAAACATACAGATACTGTATTGACTCAATTATCTCCAAGCAGAAAAACACATTTTTATAACACCCAAAAGTACCTTTAAAACTCATGGAAACACCATAAAAGTTATATCCACTGATAGCCCCGATCTGGGTGAACAACATAACCAAAAATCACCTAGTTCAGAGGTTCGGGATTTCCACGGAGGTCTTATTTTAACCGACCACACACAAAATTACTGTCCAAAAAGGGTTCCAGGAAATCAGGTCGGTCTACTTCAGGAATTAGAAGTATGATATAAAATACCGAATGTATAGCTTCGGGAGTAGGCTCAGTTTATGTCTCTTGTTCGGAGTTTATTCCAAACGAACGCCGTTCGATTCCCATTCGAATAGTTGAACATCCTTGGAAGGTATGTGTTTAGCGGTGTTCGCACCATCAAGTGTCCAATTTGAGTTCCATACACACGATGACCAAACACTGCTTATAGTGCTCGTGGCTTAAGATGGCCACCGCAACACGTGTTCGAAGTGCCGCTTCAAACCGCTTTGAGAGTTCAAAGTGCCGCTTCAAACCAGCTTTGAGAGTCCGAATGTTACTGCACAAGTCCAAAAAGGCACAAACAGTATTTTTAACCAAAGTCTATTACAGGGGCCAGAGTCACAGGGCAGGAGGCTGGCAAGCAGGCTCCTCCAGGAGCTTGTGGCAAACTCATTTAAAAAGGGGAGTTTGTCAGAGTACCTCTATATTACTGTGATATTTTGTAACCACTGCATTATATGGTAATTAATTGTTATTTATTTATAAATTAATATAAAATAATTTTCAGGGAAATTATTTTAATGGAGGTTTAAAAAACAGCACATTTTTGATACAGGGACATTTTATAATTTAATGTCAGCAGTCATAATATTCTGCTTCATTAATAAAATTATTCATACAATGGAATTATGGGACACTGTTTCAGTAAATAGATAGCCTTCTGGAATATCTTCAATATTAATTCTCCCATTGATGTCTCTGCCCTATTAATTCTCTATATCTTTTTGCAAATTTGCTCGATTTAATTAGTCATATTCAGGATTATTGTGAGCAATTAATATAGATTGGAAGCATAATTTGCCTTTCCCTCATATCCCCATCGTTCTTGGTTTCTGGCTTTTGAATAGCAATGTTACAAATAATTGTATCACCAATCAGATTGTAAAAGGTTATAGCTGCTTGTAATTAATATGATGAGTAATGTATGGTATCAGCATTAAAATAAAAAAAGTTTCTACAATTTAGATTTGCTTTAAATCGATGACTACACTTCTGATTAAATATTTTCCTTATTTAATAGTGAACACATATTTTAAAATAATGTAATATGAGCAATAAACATTGGTACATAGTTGGAATTTTGGTAATGAAAAAAGTACTTTTACTTTCTATTTCATATCGTATCTTGCATCACTGATGTGGTAGACACAATAACTACAAGATTACTGTTTGTTATGTGTTGTATATGTACATCTCCCTCTTACTGCCGCCCAGGAGTGATAGGAGTGAGCGCAGGAATTTTCTTTTTGTATTCACTTTTTGGATCATACAGCTAGGTTACAATGCTGCCGCCCATCCCATGTGTTCCCTATTAAGGGTTAATAAGTATATAGGGGTGAATATAAAAAATACCCCTTACTGTCTCATTAGAGATATCTTTGCCAGAAGCTCAAGGAAGCAAGATGAAGTGTCAGAGTAGGATCCGTACAGGGAGGTCTACCTTGACGTTGGCAGGTGGGCATTCCCTCCAGTGGCCATTGGAGTAACTAAATGACCTCCAGTTGTTTAAATATACATAGGGATTAAGGAGAGAGCGCAGGTAACTTTTTTCTTTGGTGTGTATGTATGTGTCAGTGTGTGTGTATCTGTGTGTCAAATACACGCAAACACACACACACAGTTACACACTGACACACACTGGCACATACAAACACAGATACACACACCTTGACACTCAGATAAACACACACACACACTGCTGTGGATCAGAATGTTGATCTTTGTTATATTCAGAGGAAACCCAAATTATTGTTAGAAGTGCACTTGGAGAAGCAAGAATTAGACACCAGAAACCTGTTGGTATTCAAAATAAGCCTCTGCCGTTTTATTCATCTGCTGGGTTTTATACATTAAAAAGTAAGTGCTTACGTGCAAATACTCATAGAACAGTAATAGGAAGGGAGTACTGATAAGACATAGGGATGAACGTCATGTACACATAACAAATAAGTTCCAAGGTAAGAAAGAACAAAAAGATTAGAGAAGAGACATTTCAGGTCTCTGCTCCCGGAACTAGACATATATGGTCTTAAGTGTTGTGTTAAGCATCAAGCATTTCCTGAGTCCAAGTTAGCCAATTTTAATATAGGATATCATTATATGACACCTATAAACACACAAACACACACACACAAAGTTACACACTGACACACACACTGGCACATACA